TCGAATATTGTGACATTATTGAAGTTTAGAAGCAATTTCCGATCCTCCCTTCAATCATGACATAGTCAACTAGTTGGACATGAAAAATCGCTGTTTCTATGGAATTACTCATATTATATTCCTAGGACCGATAAACCGTGAATTCTAACGTCACTAGGTTTGGTCATTGAGACATGAAATGTTATATATCACACGGTGATAAATAGTACGTTACAAGTACGTAAACAAGTATTTTTGTGATACTGACTTCAAAAGTGCACTTTTCGAAACCGTTTAGTATGCGTAATGCACAGGGTTCAGGAGTCATCATTACTTTTGTAATATTTTAAGCTCTAATTATAATTACACCGTCAATTTTTTAATTGAGATTCTTCATTTTTTGATTACTTCATTAATCGGTAATTGAAATTTGAAATTGAGTGATAACCGAGTAATCGTCAATTGCAATGAAACGGATTACCATTCATTAGGTAACCAATAATCAGAAACACAAAGATTTTCAATACTTCATCAATCATCAATATGAATTAGCATATTATTCACACTTTCCATTAATCATTAGGGACGATGAGAGTTTCATCAATCACTAAAAAATGATAAATTGTAAATGAGAATTGTTAAATTTTTTATTATTCATCAATTTGAATGAGGAATTTATCGATTATTCCAACTATCTCCCATTGAATTAATGTCAAACGATTATTTAATTATTTTTTCATTCGAAGACAGAATTATTCATTTACAGAATTATTCGTAAATCGTGTTTGAAAGAATTCGATTACTCAATCAATGCTCAACTTCAACTTTCAATTACTCAATTGCTCACTGAATGATTATTCAAAATGTATAATTTTTTGATTATTGATTCATTTTGTAAATAGATGTTACAATTAATTCTTTCTAAATTTTAGAAATTATTTCAAATTAATGATCAAACTGACGATTAATTTTACACCAAAATACACTTAATTTTAGAAAAAATATTTTCTAAAATGTAGAAAATTTTTTAAATTTTCAAGGGGGGATTTTGCAAAGAGGAGGCCTCATGTAAGGGAGGATTATCCATGAGGGTAGTGATATCCGGGGATTCGCATAGTCGGGGGGATTTTTTTGAATGGTGGTTTTATCCATGGGGAGAGGGTTTTACATAAGGGAATCCAAAACTTAGATTCTCAAAGCACAACCCCTCCCCCTCCTCACAAATTTTCAATAAAAATTTGCTATCTCCCTTAGTTTCGGAGATATTTTTGAAAAACTCACCGATTCAACTTCTTTGGTTGTGAATGCTCAATGCACATTCGTCCCCTTTCCACCGCTTTGCAAAATCCCCCCTCCTCTCAAATTTCTGGTTCCGATTTTCAGGGATTTTGTAACTTGAAAATCAACATTTATAATTTATCATTACCTGTGTAATTACATAATTGATAGGTTTCATTGATGATTACTCCAGAAATTGAATAAGTCAACATTTTGATTAATCGTTGAACAATCAACAATTGAAGAATAATCAGTAACACTGATTAACGACTGAATTGGATATTTTCGGATTTGAGTGGATGATTGAATGAGTAACAGAAAATTGTCTGATAATCATTACTCATTTCTCAAGTAACTATGTATGATTAAAACTTAATTACCGATTATCTAAGGAAGTGAAAAGTTCATATTTCATTTGAACTGCCAAGTAAGTAATGTGAAAGGGCTGAATATCAAATACCGATCGAAAGAATAATGGTCAATCCTATATTTTCATTAACAATTACTGAAAAAATTTGGAATTTTTAATGACGATTACTCAATGACAACGTAATGGGTATTCACAGCGATTCAGTTATTGATTACTTATGTAATCTGTAATAAGTGTTTTGAGTTAATCATTTTCCAATTAATAAAAAAATTTCACATTCAAATACTTGAGTGACTGAGTAATAAAGTAACGGTAATTTCAAATTACAATTTTTTACTGCACGAGTGCAAAGATCAAGAGCGTGCGTAAAGTGAATTTCGCTTTACGCAGGCTCTTACACTTTACGAACTCGTGCACAAAAACAACCAGTTTACCCCCACTACCGTTTCGAACACTGAACTCGGCCGTTCTAAAAAAAAAGTAGGATGTGTTACACGTGCATGCAAAAAAGTGGATCTTTACGCACTATTAATACAAGATACTATTTTGGAATACTTGCCGAGCTCACTGTTTGGGGTGATAGTGGAGGTAAAGTTCTGGAGATAAAGTCCAGTGGAGGAAAAGTTATGCATGAAGTGCATCAAGGTCGAGGTCGTGCGAAAAAGTGAATTTTGAGCACGAGAATTCCTTTTACATACCACCTCAGAACTTAAGCATACCGTGCAAAAAACGAGCAGTTTACGCATACTGAATCGTTCTGAGAAGTGAACTTTTCAAGGAGGTCTCACAAAATCATATTTCACGCAACGAGTTGGAAACTTACGTTTTTCACTCGTTTGAGGTTTGCTCACGGAGAGAATAAAAAATTAAAAATTGCAATACAACTTTAAAATTTGATTCATCTTAACCGAATTTTTACTCGTCCCAAATTAGATTTTATGTTCATTCTACTACTTTCTGCTATACCGACTCGCAATTTTTACTATGCTTAACAGTAAATTTCGATTGGGGCGGGTATGGTCTTCGATGACCATGTTCCCACAGTAAAGAATAGTTTTATATTTTTCCGTGTAATCACACTCGTCAAAAACGTCGTTCACCATGAATTACGTGATAGTATATATCAGCCTTGAAGCGGAAAATATACATTTTCCACTTTCTCCAACCTTTTGGTTTAGAACAGAAATTTGGCCATGCATTACGTAGACACATCACTGATGCCCAGCTAGAAAGAAACAAACGGGCCGAGCAGAGAAACCGGCCGCCGCAGTTCGGGGCCCGTTGCTCAGTTGGGACCTAATGATTACTAATCTGACGCCCTAACGACTAGTCTATCGCGCAATTCGTAATATCCCTACTTCAATTTCGTCCATATTATATCCGTCTTGATTTTTTCCTACTTGAACGTTTTATTATTCAGTTGATAGAGATATTAAGATATTAAGATAGAGATATTAATAATGAATAATCATCATAATAATCATACTAATGACGATTAATTATTAATGATGATTTTTCTGTCCTTCGGGATAATTAGCGAATAATATCTGATTTTAATACCTACAATGCCACCCAGACCATTTTATCTTTACAATTACACCTTTAAAATTAAACCCCCAATAATAAATTCTTACCATTCAACCCTCACAATGTTACCCCTATCATTTTCTCGCCCCTTTCCGTTATTACGATTTAGCCCTTGCAAATTTACTCTTCAGTTCCCACCCATGTGTGATTTCACCCTTATGATTCCATTCGCATCATCTCACCCTTGCGACTTAACCCTCAGAATTACACCAACGGCTGGAGCCCAATGACCAAGCTCCGGGCCAGCGCTGGCTATAGCTTGATCATCGAGTTCCGGCATGCCAATGTTCGGCACAATATTGGGCTGAATCTGTTAACCAAGGCTTCGTTACCCGCCCCTCCCTCGAGACTCTAGCCCCAGCCCCCAGGGATGGTCGAACCTCGGACCAACTTTAGGTGCCAAGGCTTGGCAAGCCCAGACGTGTGCCACACTTGGCCCGTTTTCCAAAACTGACATTACAGGAACGGGAAGGAAAGGGCGAGAAAATGAGAGTAATACATAGAGAGGTAGAGAGAGATAGGCAAAGAGGGAGTTACATCGAATGGTAGCGACAGGGTCGGATCGAAGTTTAAGTAAATAGAACAATTCAAAACCGTGAAAACACTGAATAAGTGGAAATGAGTGAATGTAGGTTGATGAAGACGGATAGTCGCATTGCTTGAATATTTCATGGTTGGTACGTCATGGTTTCGTTCGTGCCTTATCACCCTCCAGATTCCTACATAACTAATTTTCGCGTTCTTCGTCAACTCAGATTCTCCTCGAGATACTTTGACATTCAATATATACAGATTAAATCCCTCATCCACTTATCCCGTGCCCATATATAACTACAATTAAACTCGCAACTAATAATAAGAAAAAAAGAGGTGAATAAAAATGCTCAGAGCTTGAATTTAATTCATTTTCTAACTGTAAATAAATGTCGATTGAGTGGCGTTCATTTAAAAAGCTAAATGAAATAGTAAATTTAAAAATCCAAAAAAAGTTTGGTTGATTAAACAAGGGCTTTGTTATTGTTTGCCCTTAGATGGGCCGGCCATTGTCCGGGTAAACCTGTTTGTACGAAGCATTGCGACAATTAGTGACATCAAGATGGTAAGTATACCGGCAAAAAATGCCCTGTTCAAATTGAAAAAAAAAAATTATTCATAAGACTTGAAAATTTCGCGGGCAAGAAAAAAATTGAAGCAAACAATGAGGAGTAGAAGGTGGTTTTATCTATTTGTGGTGTTGTTTTTGCCTAAAAATGGGTGCAAGTAGATTAGTTATATTAGTCGCATG